CAACTAGGGGGTGCTAGGCAGGGGCTCTATTACTGAGCCAAACCCCCAGCCTCACAGTGGAGGATTCTAGGCAAGCATTCTACTGCTAAGTCAGTCACAAACCCAGCCCCTTACTGGTGAACCTAGGCAAGAATCTATCACTGAGCAATGACCTCTCACTGGTGAATTCTAGAAAGGTACCCTACCACTAAGCCATGAACTCCGCCTCTCACCGGTTAGATTCTGTGGAAGAATTCTGCTGCTGAGCCAGGCCTCCACGCTGCTCTGTCGTCACTACGGAATCCTAGGTAGGTACCCCGCAGCAGATTCTCAGCCCCTAGTGGATTCTAGGCTGGAGCTCCATCACTGAGCTCTGTCCCTGGCCCTCTTTTCACTTTTTGAGACAGGGTCTCGGAAACTTGCTCAGGCAGGCTGTGAACTTTTGATCCTCCTGGCTCAGCCTCCCAAATAGCTGTCATGACAAGCCTGTGTCTCCAGGCTGGACTTAACTTCTGTGTTCCGAAGGACCTCCTGTTCCAGGCCTTGGTTGGATGTAGAGAACCCAGAAATGAATCCACCAGCTGCCCTCACCCCACCCCACACCTACCATATGAGACCTCAGGGCAAATGCAAGAAGTAAAAGACAGGATAGTGACCACCCATACTGTGCATGGTGACATGTGCTACAAAGTTTGTCCCACTGAACACAGTGGGGTCCACAGGAGGCACAAAGCTGTCTGGGATAAGAAGAACAAGGGGATTAAAAAAAAAAAAAAAAAAAAAAAAAAAAAAAAAAAACCACAAACAGGTCCAAGTCCTAGAGGATGAGATCCAGGCAAAAATAAGGTGGACAGCAATACCATGTGTCAACCTCTGGCTTTCAAGCATACACACACACACACACACACACACACACACACACACACACACACACGGTGTAAGTATTCTTAGGAGGCCTGGAAAGATGGCTCAATGGTTAAGAGCACAGGCTGCTCTTTCAGAAGACCTGGTATCAATTCTCTGCACCACAATGGAGCTCACAGCTGTCTATAACCCAGTCCTAGGGATCTGGTAAAACCAGCTAAAGGGATAACTGCATAGCCTGGGCTCTACTAAAAGCCATGGTAATATATGAGTTGTGTCTTATGCGAGTTACCCCTTAAATGTTTAAAGCCTATGAATTCCAGGCCTATGAGATGGCTCAGTGGGTAGAGGAGCTTGCTGACAACCCCGAAGACCTGAGTTCAATTCCCAATATATACATGGTAGAAAGAGAATTGACTCCCACAAGTTGTCTCCTGACCTCTAACCTCTAAATGAGCTTTCTGGCACTTGCACATACCCCTCACTAATTAAATAAATGAAAAAATATTTAATACACTCATTAGGGACTGGAGAGATGGCTTAGCCATTAAGAGCATTTGTTGCTCTTGCAGAGGACCCAAGTTCAGTTCCCAGCACCCACACAGTGGCTCACAACTGTAACTCCAGTTCCAAGGTGTCTGATGCCCTCTTCTGACCTCCATAGACGCTGCACACACATGGTGCACAGACATACATGCAGACCAACACTTGTACTCTTAAAAAAGCAAAACAAAAAACTACAAGTGAATTAATTCATCTTTCAACCCAATCCTGGCAATATCTCCTCAAGGATATGAATGTATATATATACAAGCAAATCCTTTCCTTCCTTTGTTTCTCCCTTGGCAATATATATATCATCACTGAAAAATATGAGGAAGTATTAAGCCAAGGGGTAGTTGTGCACACCTTTAAGAGCTGCACTCAGAAGACGAGGCAGGTGGATCTCTGTGAGTTCGAGGCCAGCCTGGTCTACAGAGAGACTTCCAGGACAGCCAGGACTACACAGAGAAGCCCTGTCTTGAAAAAACAAAAACAAAAATATGGGAAAGTGTTGGGAATAATTCATCGGTGGAGTGCCTGCCTAGCATGCATGAAACCCTGAGTTCCATCCCCAGCATTGCATATAACCAGGTGTAGTGGTGCATGCCTGTAATCCCAGTACTGGGAAGGCAGAGGAAGAAGGATCAGGAGTTTAAGGTCAGCCTGGGCTATATGAGACTTTGTCTCCAAAATCCATTAATCATTCCATAAACAAAATGTAAGATGAAAGAAAACTGAAAATGTGCATAAGAGTATAGAGAATGCACTTTTTTTGTTTGTTGTTTTCAGACAGCCTCTCTCTACATAGCCCTGGCTGTCATGGAACTCACTATGTAGACAGAGCTGGCCTCAAACTCATTGAGATCTTCCTGCATCTGCCTCTCAAGTTTTGAGATTAAAGGTGTTCGCCACCAGTACCTGGGTTAGAATGTACTTTCAAGCATGAGAAAAGGGATCATTATAAAAGGTATTTGTTAAAACAAAACAAAGTGTTGGCTCACACCTTTAATCCCAGCATTCCGGAGGCAGAGGCAGGTGGATCTCCATGAGTTTGAGGCCAGCCTGTTCTACACAGTGAGTTGCAGGACAGGCTCCAAAGCTACAGAGAAACCCTGTCTCCAAAAAAAACAAACAAAAAGGTATTTGTTATTGCACATGACCGATCAGGCAGTGTTTGAGGGGGATGTCGTTCCTAACACCGTAAACATGTGGAGTTTAAAGGGACAGCTATGTGGAGTCTCTTGTGTCCTTCTTCTTTTATGAGATTTCTAGGGGATCAAATTCAGATTGCCTTAAGAACAGAACAGGAGGGATGGAGAGATGGCTTAATGGTTAAGAACACTGGCAGCTTCTCCAGAGGACCTAGGTTCAATTCTCCGCACCACAATGGCAGCTCACAAGTGTCTATAATTCTGGTCCTAGGGATCTGACATCCCCTTCTGGCTTCTATGGGCACCAGGCACACAGACGTACATACAGTCAAAACATCCGTACATATGAAAATATTTAAAAAACAAAACAAAAAAAAGGACAGTAGGAGGGACCGAGAGATGGCTCAGGTCAGGGTTTAAGAGTACTTGGTGATCTTGCAGAGTACCCACATCTGAAAGTCCATAACTACCCTGGTTCATTGTGAGTTCAAGCCAACCTGAGTAACCTAGTGAGACTGTGTCA